CTGGGATTACAGGTTCGCGCCACCACGCCCGGCTAATTTTTGTAGTTTTAAGTAGAGATGGGGTTTCATCATGTTGGTCAGGCTGGTCCTGAACCCCTGACCTCATGATCCACCCCCCTCAGCCTCCCAAGTGCTGGGATTACAGGGCGTGAGCCACCACACCAGCTCCTTTCACTCCTCTTAATGCCCTTTCAGTTTGTGTAGCATTGACGAGGTCCTTATAGAGCACTGCAGATGCTGTCCCGTGGTGTGAGGCATGTATCATACAAGTCTGAGTTGGCTGGTTTGCTTTCTTCCTCTCTCTGTGTCTCTCGTTCTGGCTTCTGTTCTCCCTCCTCCAGAATATAGATTTGGTTCAAACTAACCTAACAAGGTAGGAGTCCTAGGCAGATCCTCTCCCAGGGTCTCGGGTTGGCAAAGCAATGGGTAGATGCTTCCAGCTATTAGGAGGACCTGGAAGCATCTAGGTACAGAATTGGAGAGGGTACAGCCAGGGAGTATGTGACGTTCAAGCTCCATGTCTAACTAAGATGCCTACTGCTAAGGGCTCAGTCAGAGAGGAAGCTGGGAGAGAGGAGCTGGAAAGGCCCCTGGGGTAGGGAGTTCCCATTTCTATCCAGGAGAGGCCGAAAATAAGTCTGACAGAACAGCCAAAGACTTAGGCAAAAGCAAGAACCTAAAACGGGCATACAGGCCAATAAGATTCAAGGAAAATTGCCCCACCCCTGAGGCAGGCCCTTGCCTAATCCTAGGACTGTGACAGATCCGAATCCAGCTGTTGGGAGGTTGGCCAGTGAGAAGCCTGAGGGAGAAGACTGACTTTCAGATTTCAGCCAAGGACAGTAAAAGTTAGTGATTTTTTTTTTTTTTTTTTTTTTTTTTTTGAGACGGAGTTTCGCTCTTGTTACCCAGGCTGGAGTGCAATGGCGCGATCTCGGCTCACCACAACCTCCACTTCCTGGGTTCAGGCAATTCTCCTGCCTCAGCCTCCTGAGTAGCTGGGATTACAGGCACGCGCCACCATGCCCAGCTAATTTTTTGTATTTTTAGTAGAGACGGTGTTTCACCATGTTGACCAGGATGGTCTCGATCTCTCGACCTTGTGATCCACCCGCCTCAGCCTCCCAAAGTGCTGGGATTACAGGCTTGAGCCACCGCGCCCGGCCAAAGTTAGTGATTTTTTAAGAGATTTTTTTTACCATGATTTTGGAAAACTGAGAACACTGCCTGTCATATGCAGGGAAAGCTATAGTTGGGAGGGCAGAGACTTTCAAAGCTATTGTTGAATCTTGGCTTGAAGGTACAGGTGGGGAACAGGTCCTGGTAACCTTCCAGTCTCTATAACTGTGCCTTTCCTGCCCATGCTGTCCCCATGCTGTGTTCTCTGAGGACCAAAAGTTGGGAAGAGGAGGGGAAAGCACTGCTGTGCCATTGGACCCTGCATCATATGCCCATCCTCACTGCACCCCTGGCCTCTCTCTCTCTCTCTTTTCTTTTTGTAGAGACAGGGTCTCGCTATGTTACCCAGGTTGGTCTTGAACTCCTGGCCTCAAGTGATCCTCCTGCCTGACCACTCTCTATGGTCTCAATTTCTCAGGTATGATGGGGAGCAAAGTGATGTGTAGAAACCAAAGGCCACAAGAGGCAGTTATTACTTACACTTACAGCCCAGTCTCAGAGGACACAGATCCTGTTTTTGCCCCACCCCAGCTGTGTCGGGAGGGAAAAAATCTGTATTTCCTCCTTCAGCTGAAACCAGTGAGCTTCCATTTGGGCCTCTTCAGTCATCACTGGGTCCTGGCAGCCAGAGTTAATATCGGGAACCTGGCTTAAATAAAAGAAAGGTATCAGGGAAGGGCAGGAGTCTGTTCTCATTTTCTCACTCTTCCCCCACTTCACTCTTCTAAGTCTTCGTAGTTTCTCTCTCACTCTCTTCTCTTTCTCTCTTCCTGTGCGAGTCCCCTGAGAGACTGGGTTCTGCTACCCTCTAGTGGCCAGAAGAAGGACTCTCCCACTCAATCAATGGGGACCTTCAAGCCTTTAGGAATAAACCAGCCGAGAAGGTCTAGAGAGAAACAATGCCTTTGAGGGCCAGGGGCGCAGCTGGGACTAGAACCCAGGTCTCCTATCTCTCGGGCCAGTGCTCAGTCAACTTTCACTCCCCCACCCTCTGACTTTTGCTTCCCCTTCCTAGCCTAGCCCTAGTTAGAAACCCTGAAACCAAATGATCCCTCCCGGCCCTAGTGGAGCAGCACCTGCACCTCAAATGTCCTAACTGCAAATCAGTTCACCACTGAGACCACAGGGGTTTCTTCTAAGGACCCGACTGCACTCCGCCCTTCTGAGGTTAACAATCTTGCAGGATTCTTATTGACCTGATACAGCTCCCATAGCCTTGGTGGTACCACCCGTATGGGTCCGGGTAGCCACCCAGGTGTCCTGTCTCCACGGTAACCGTTGCTTTGCGACCTTAGGTTTGCAGCGGTCGCGCTGCAGCCGCTGCAGTGGTTGCTGAGTGACGGCGGAGAGAAGGCGGGGGCTTGAGGTTGGGAACCCCGGCTGACGTCCGGTAAGGGGAGGTTCCCGGGGAAGACCGCCGAAGGCGAGGTGCTTGGCCCGCCATGTAGGGGCGCGTTCCCAGCCGCAGACCCCACCGCCCTCCCTCTCCCCGGGCCGCATGGCGGTGGCAGCGCCCCCGGGTCAGGCCTCGGGCTGGGCCTGGAGGCCGGTGGCTCGGGACGCGCTTTTGGCTCGGGCCTTCCATTCATGCACCGAACTGCGGGGACAGTTCTATCTCGTAGGTGGTCTCCTAGCAGGAGGAGCGAGAGAGCCCAGCAGCGACACGGTGGTCTTCGACCCGGCTAGGGGCCAGGCCGTACGATTGGGAGCCCAGGGAACCCCCGCGCGCAGTCACCACGACGCGGCACCCGTGGGCGGGCGCTGGCTCTGCGTGGTGGGCGGCTGGGACGGGTCGCGCCGCTTGGCAACAGTGACCGCGCTGGACACAGAGCGCGGTGTGTGGGAGGCGTGGACAGCGACCCCTGGCGACTGCCCCCCCGCCGGCCTCAGTAGTCACACCTGCACCCGCCTCTCGGACCGAGAGCTGCGGGTGGCTGGCCGAGAGGGCGGTATCCGCACTCAGCGACGCTATGGAAGCATCTATACGTTAAGGCTGGACCCCAACGCCCGCACCTATTGGTATGGCACCCCCCGCCCAAAACCTTTCACTCTCCTTTCATCAACACTCTGGAAAAACAAAAGCCTGAAAGATTTCTCAGGCAATTTATCCACGTCCTCACCCTAGCACCCTCCTTCCGGGGAAACCCACCATGTTTAAGCTAGCTGAGCTCTCTGTATTACCCTCCCTCTCCCACCTACCGCACTGGCCTGTGCCTCCTCTCCATCCATGCTTGGCAAGGGCGGTGGCACTTATATTTTCCAGAAAACCCACTCAGGCCTCATTTTCTGGCATGTCCACAGCTACAAGGAAGAAGGCTGCCACACAGCCTCACGCTCAGGTCACTGTGCGGCCCTGCTCCAAATTCCTGGGCCCCATCCAGGTCATCAGCTGTTGCTCTTTGGAGGTTGCAACTTAACTGAACCAGAAGTAGCTGGGCATTGGAGTCATGGGAAAATCAAGGTATTAGCTCCTCATGCGTCTTGTTTAGGATGGGAACAGGCTAAAATTGTGGTGCCCAGGTTTCTTCGGACAGTCCTTTCTTTCTCCCCAAGGAGGAACCACCTGTTGCCCCTCATTTGATGGAACAGCTTGCAAGGCTGGTGAGCAGTGGGCAGGGGTCCCAGAAGGGGCCCCAAGGACTACGGCATCACTCATGTTCTGTGGTCGGGCCCTTTGCTGTGCTGTTTGGTGGAGAAACTCTGAGCAGAGCTAGAGACACCATCTGCAATGATCTCTACATCTATGATACCCGTGAGAGCCAGGCTAATGGTTGAAGGGGGAAAGGTGGGAAGACGGGGGAAAACTAAAGACTGCAGAAAGAGGGTGGAGTGATGGGGTAGGGAGGAGGAGAAATTAGTTGACAGGAATTAAAGTAGTACCCAGAATATTAAGCATTCGAAGAGGCCTACGAATCAACTGAGCAGAATAACAACGGGCAAGCCCTTGGTCGTGCTGAGTTCTACAAATGACAGAGTGCTACTGCCTCAATAACCCTCTGCCCCTATCCAACAGGCAAGTCTCCTCCTCTGTGGTTCCACTTCCCCTGTGCAGACCGCAGGCTGAAACGCGTGGGCCATCGAACCTGCCTTTGGAATGATCAGCTTTACCTGATTGGGGGTTTTGGTGAGGATGGCAGGACGGCCAGTCCACAGGTTTGCATCCTGGACCTCTTTATCTAAATAGTGCCAAGACACACCACTAAGCCTCGTTTTCTTTTGTTGCAAACCTATAAAGCATTATCAACAGAGTTATCTGCTTCACTTCAAAGCTTATTAAATTTCAATCTGACAGTCAACATTTGTCTCTGAAAATGTTTTAGGGGGGAAGGGCAGTAAATAAGTGGACACATCTTTATTTGCAAGGAAAGGATAAAAATGGGTCCTACTCGGGGCGGGGCGTAGTGGCTCAAGCCTGTAATCCCAGCACTTTGGGAGGCTGAGGCGGGTGGATCACAAGGTCAAGAGATCAAGACCATCCTGGTCAACATGGTGAAACCCCATCTCTACTAAAAATACAAAAAATTAGCTGGGCATGGTGGTGCGTGCCTGTAATCCCAGCTACTCAGGAGGCTGAGGCAGGAGAATTGCCTGAACCCAGGAGGCGGAGGTTGCGGTGAGCCGAGATCGCGCCATTGCACTCCAGCCTGGGTAACAAGAGCGAAACTCCGTCTAAAAAAAAAAAAAATGGGTCCTACTCTAACATACTCTAATATTATGAGTCATTAACCTAATGGAAGCGAAAACGACATTACATGCCATCCTGTGCCTCATAACAATTTCTATCCCTAAGTGGGAGAAAACTTCAGGCCACAGCTAAGCAATCTGACCAAAACATTTAATTAACAAAAAATATTACAATAGCAGAGAAAATAATAATAATAACAATAAAGAGAAATTAGAAGTGGGAGTCAGGGTAGAAAAAAATGCAAAGGCCTTGGTCCCTAGGAGACCAACACTCCAGCTGAGCTGGCCTTAGCCCCAGCCCCTTCTGAGTTTTCCTTGGCTGCTGGCTTCTCATCTTCTCCCATGAGACGAATGTTGTGCTTTTCCCGGAATTCATTGAGTTCTTTTCCCTTGGCCTGAAGCTGCTGTGTCAGTGTCTCAATGATCTTCTGTATCTAGAGGACAAGTGACAGAGATTATGTAAGGAATTCAGAACTCCCTTCCCACACCTTGAATGGACTATGGTTGGGGGAAGTATTAACACTTTTAACTTTACCTTGAATGAAGTAGAGGAGCCGAGAAACTAAAATTATTCCCTTCTTAACACAGTGGTTTAGTGGTTTATACACTTTAATGTATTTAGAATCACCAGGGCTCACAGGGCTTTTTTTTTTTTGAGACAGAGTCTTGCTCTGTTGCCCAGGCTGGTCTCTGTCGCACGATCTCGGCTCACTGCAACCTTCACTCCTGGGTTCAAGTGATTCTCCTGCCTCAGCCTCCCAAGTAGCTGGGACTACAGGCACCTGCCACCACGCCCAGCTAATTGTTTATTTTTAGTAGAGACTGGGTTTCACCATATTGGCCAGGCTGGTCTTGAACTCCTGACCTCAGGTAATCCACTCACTTTGGCTCCCAAAGTGCTGGGATTACAAGCATGAGCAACTGTGCCCACCCTATTTTTATTTTTTATAGAGATAAGTTCCCGCTATGTTGCCCAGGCTGGTCTCAAACTCCTGCCTCGGCCTCCCAAAGCACTGGGAATACAGGCATGAGCTTATTTTTAAAATGTCACTTCATGGCACTCCCAAAGGTTCTGATCCAGTGGGTCCAGGAAGCTGAATTTATAAATTACTCCTTCAGGTGATTTTGATGGATGTATCCCTGGACCACACACTGTGAGAAACATTAACCCCAATCTTCCCACCCCAATTCAGCCAGGTCACAGAGCCCACAGCAGCCAGCGATTCCTCTTGTCAAAGAGTTGGACTTAGCATAGCATAATGAACATAGGCTAATAGGGTATTTTACGCTTTTTTTTTTTTTTTTTTTTTTTTTTTTTTTGCGCATGACAGTGTCTCACTCTGTCCTCGAGGCTGCACTGCAGTGAGGTGATCACAGCTAATTGAAGCCTCAACCTCTTGGGCTCAGGTGAGTAGCTGGAACTACAGTCACATGCCACCAAGCCCAGCTAATTTTTTGTAGTGATGTGGCTTCGCCATGTTGCCCAGGCTGGTCTCAAACTTCTGGACTCAGGCAATCCACCCACCCTTGGCCTCCCAAAGTGCTGGGTTTACAGCCACTGCACCTGATCCTAGTCAAAGATTCTTGCTCACCTGCTCCTTGTTGTTCTCCAAAGCAGGAAGCACCTCTTTGACAGTTCGCTCCACCAGCACTCCTCCAACCATGCGGTAGCACTTACGAGTTTCATCTACCTCCTTCAGTGTATCAATCACTAGGCTGGGATAGGAGAACAAGGCAGGACCTGAGGATTCAGCCTCACTCTATCACAAATCCCCCTAATGGAGTAGCCCATACAACTGTCCTACTGTTTGCCTCTCCCTGACTTTCTCACCTGTGCTCATTCAACTCCATCTCCAATTCGGCTGCTTTGGATGCCAGGCCCCGCTGTTCCTGCCGAAGGCGGTTAAAGCCAGCAATTACCTAAGGTGAGAGAAGAGATGAAAGAGGGGACAGTGGAAATGGCAAAGGGTCCACATAGCACATAGGGTGGCAGGCTTTCCAAAGGTGCAGTAGTGGGCACCTACCTTGGAAAAGGAATAGAACCACAAGTGATTTCTACCTAAAATTTTTCTGGAATTCCATTCACTAAACACGGAGAGCCTACTATTTTTGAGATAGGTGAGGGTCTACTGAGGGATATCACAGAACAGATTTGGCCTCTGGCTTCTTGTAGCTTATAGTTTGGTAGGAAATAGGCATTTAATATAAGAATAGGGGTGGAGAGCTACTGGAGTACCTACAGGGGAGCCTAGACTTGCAGACAGGGCTGTCGGGAAAAAGCTTTGTAATGAGAAACTCTTGTTTGGGTCTGCTCAGTAGCCCAGCCATTGGTGAACTGCCACTCCTTAACTTGGTATGCTTCTTTTGGGGCTACTAACCACAGGACCCCTACCCAGGGTCAGTGACCTACAGAGTCTCTCTACAGGAATTGTAATTCTGTGGACACACAGACATGTATGATAGAAGGCAGCTGGAGTTAACACTCTTATTGGTTTTATAGAGATGACTTTCCATTCCCATTCCTAGATTCCCTAAAGCTGCCCCAGTTCTTGAACTTTATCCAGTCTAGTTATTTAGCCTTTTTTTCGTGTTCAATTCTGTGAAATACCCACTATTATCCAAAAATAGTCCTTAAAAAAAAAAAAAAAAAAGGGCTGGGCGGGCATGATGGTTCATGCCTATACTCCCAACACTTTGGGAAGCTGAGGTGGGTGAATCACAAGGTCAGGAGATTGAGACCATCCTGCCCAACATGGTGAAACCCTGTCTCTACTAATACAAAAAATTAGCCAGGCATGGTGGCACAAGCCTATAGTCCCAACTACTCAGGAGGCGAGGCAGGGGAATTGTCTGAACCTGGAAGGCAGAGGTTGCAGTGAGCCAAGATTACAGCACTGCACTCCAGGCTGGGGACAGAGCGAGACTCCGTCTCAAAAAAAAAAGAAAAGAAAAGAAAAAAGAAAGTTGTCCAGAGATGGTTTCTATAGCCTATAAACCCTAACTGATACAGGCTTCCTGACAGATAATCGTCTTAAATGAAGCCTGAAAAATCAGAGAGGGAGGGAGGGTGTTTGGGAAAAAATGAAAAATATGAGGCTCAGAGACAAAAGACCAAGTTTCAGCTTCTGCCTCTGCTACTTTTTTGGCTCTGTGGTCTGGGACAGACATTTAACCCTATGGTTCTTAACCATGGCTATATGTTAGAATCACGTGAATCATTTTAAAAACATGAATAGTGGAGCCTCAAAACTACTATATAACCACTGGGCGTAAGGCCCAGGCCTCAGTATTTTTAGATCTCCCACATAATTCTAATGTGCAGTGTGAACTGAGAACTATCGGGTTAACCCCTTTGTCCCGTAATTTTCCTACCTGAAAAATGCAGATAATGATACCCACTTCATAAGGTTGTTTTATCATGTGAACCAATGAGTGTGAAATGTCTTTGTGAACTGTGAAGATATTAATACTATCATGGCCTTCTCTCCAAGTCCAGAACTGCCCCCTTAAGCTCTCCTGGTCATCTGGAGACGACCCAATCCATTCAAACCATCACCAAATCTCTTACTTGCATTTCGAAATATCATATCCAGTCACACAGCCAGAAACTTTGCCCTAGTAAAGATGATTAACTGCTTCATCTTTACTAGGGCCCTTACCTCTTTTTTCCTTTTTCTTTTTTTATTTTTATTTTTATTTTTTGAGAAAAGTCTCACTCTATCACCCGGGCTGGAGTGCAGTGGCACAATCACAGCTCACTGTAGCCTCAATCTCCCTGGGCTCTGGTGATTTTCCTGCCTCAGCCTCCCAAGCAGCTGGGACTACAGGTGCATACTACCTAATATTTTTGTAGAGACACAGTCTTACTATGTCGCCAAGGCTGGTCTCACACTCCTGGGCTCAAGCGCTCTGCCTGCCTGAGCCTCCCAAAGTTCTGGGATTACAGGCATGAGCCACCATGCCTGGCCTGGCCCCTTATCTCTAGCTCACCCTCTTCAAGGATCATATACAGAAAATATTACCCAAATGGCTGACCTGTACCACCCCTATGGCCTTTCTACTGCCAATAAACCAAGGAATAAAACTTGACCAAGAACTTGTCATTCTAGCAACTTCCTCCTTTCTCCCATCTATCATCCCTTCATCTCAACCTACTTTATCCATTCATTTCAACAAATGCTTTGAAAATCTAATTTATCTACAGACTGTTTTTCCTTTATCTTCACTGCCTGTCTCAAAATCATTCCCCATTTATATTAGCTTTTGATGTACTGTTCTTTTTTTTTTTTTTTTTAATAAGAAAAAGAATAAAGAAGAGGAAGAAAGAGAAAGAGGAAGAGGGAGAGAGGATGGGGGTATTGCTTTATTGCCCGGGCTAGAATGCAATCTAAATATGGGTATGCCTATAATTGTCCTTAATAATGGAGATATAAAAGAAAATGAGGGAAGAGAATAACAAACAAGGAGCCAACCAAGATTTCATTTAAACTTCTAAGTTGATATGATGTGGTACTGATAAGAGTGTATATTTTGTATATTTAAAGTGGAGAGTTCTGTAAATGTTAATTACATTTACTTGTTCCAGATCTGAGTTCAAGTCCTGAATATCGTTGTTAATTTTCTGTCTCATTGATCTGTCTAATTTTAATGTTGAAGTCTCCCACTATTATTATGTGGGAGTCTAAGTCTCTTTATAAGTCTTATATGTCTGCGTATTCCTGTATTGGGTGCGTATATATTTAGGATCTTTAGCTCTTCTTGTTGTTGCATTGATCCTTTTATCATTATATAATGTCCTTCTTTGCTTCTTTTGATCTTTGTTGCTTAATTGTAACTTCTGCTTTTTATTTATTTATTTTAACTCTCTGGTTGGTTGGTAAATCTTTCTCCATCCCTTGTTTTGAGTCTTTGTGTATCCTTGAATGTAAGATGGGTCTGGATGCAGCATACTGATGGGTTTTAGTTTTTTTTTTTTTTTTTGGAGACGGAGTTTCACTCTTGTTACCCAGGCTGGAGTGCAATGGCGCGATCTCGGCTCACCGCAACCTCCGCCTCCTGGGTTCAGGCAATTCTCCTGCCTCAGCCTCCTGAGTAGCTGGGATTACAGGCACGCACCACCATGTCCAGCTAATTTTTTGTATTTTTAGTAGAGACGGGGTTTCACCAAGTTGACCAGGATGGTCTCGATCTCTCAACCTCGTGATCCACCCGCCTCGGCCTCCCAAAGTGCTGGGATTGCAGGCATGAGCCACCGGGCCCGGCCGGGTTTTAGTTTTTTATTCAAATTGCCTGTCTTTGGATTGGGGGATTTAGTCAATTTAAATTTAGAATTAATAATAATATATGTGAGTTTAATACTGCCATTTAATATTAGCTGGCTATTTTGCCCATTAGTTGATGTAAATTCTTCATTATATTGATGCTCTTTTTGATAATTTTTTTTAGAAAGGCTGATACTGTTTGTTCCTTTCTATGTGTAGTGGTTCTTTCAGAAGCTCTTGTAAAGCAGACCTGGTGGTGATGAAATCTCTGAGTGCTTGCTTATTCACAAAAAACTTTATTTTTCCTTCACTTGTGAAGCTTAGTTTGGCTGGATGTGAAATTCTGGGTTGAAAGTTCTTTTCTTTAAGGACGTTGAATATTGGCCCCCACTCTCTTCTGGCTTGTAGGGTTTCTGCTGAGAGATCTGCTGTAAGTCTGATAGGCTTCCCTTTGTGGGTAAACTGACCTTTCTCTCTGGCTGCCCTTAGTATTTTCTCCTTCATTTCAACCCTGGTGAATCTGACGATTATGTGCCTTGGAGTTGCTCTTCTTGAGGAATATCTCTGTGGTGTTCTCTGTATTACCTGGAGTTGAATATTATCCTGCCTTACTAGGCTGGGAAAATTTTCCTGAATAATGTCCTGAAGCGTATTTTCCAGCTTGGATTCATTCTCTTCGTCACATTCAGGTACACCTATCAAGCGTAGATTAGGTCATTTCACATAGTCCCATATTTCTTGGAGACTTTGCTCGTTCCTTTTTATCCTTTTTTCTCTAATCTTGTCTTCTTGTTTTATTTCATTGAGTTGGTCTTCGACCTCTGATATCCTTTCTTCTGCTTGATCAATTCGGCTGTTAAAACTTGTGCATACTTCACGAAGTTCTCGTATTGTGTTTTTCAGCTCCATCAATTCACTTATATTCCTCTCTAAATTGTGTATTCTTGTTAACATTTCGTCAAATCTTTTTTCAAAGTTCTTAGTTTCTTTAGATTGGGTTAAAACAAGTTCTTTTAATGCACAGAAATTTCTCATTATCCACATTTTGAAGCCTGCTTCTGTAATTGGAACACACTCGTTCTCCATCAAGCCTTGTTCCGTTGCTGATGAGGAACTGTGATCCCCTGCTGAGGGAGAGGCGTTCTGATCTTGGGTATTCTCAGCCTTTTTTGACTGTTTTCTTCCCTTCGTTATAAATTTATCCATCTGTGGTCTTTGTATTTACCGTCTTTGTAATTGGGTTTCTGAGTGGACGTCCAACTTACTGATTCTCAGCGCCGAAATCTGAGCAACCCACTGCACCGACTAAATCAGCGGCGTTAAGATTGATGGTGCTTTTCTGACTCTGCACCAAGAACCGTCGCTCCAAGGCGCCGGCAAAACCGCCTCGCCGGTCACAAGAGTCGCGCTGGCGACCCGTGGGGCTCCTCCGCTGGGAATCTCCTGGTGCGTGAGCAACAAGAATTCATGTGAAGGTGTGGCGTCCTCTCCTTCTCTGCGCTTTCACTGGGAGCTACAATCCCGAGCTGCTAGTGATCAGCCATCTTGGATCTCTCTCTGATGTACTGTTAATATTCCAGATCAAAAAAATTTCATCTAAAAAAATTACAACCAAAGCAGATTCTAGATGTTCCCTTAGCACCCAAACAATCCACTTTT